GGACGAGGGAGGAACCCAAAAAAGGGACACAGATAAAGAGGCTTTGAAAATTTATAGACAAGAGGTGAGTGAATGATGCCATTCCGCGCCCTATACGGGGTGCTTCGAGCGGGACTGATTCCAGATGTGAGGATTATGAATAAAGAAGGACAATCAACGCATTCACAGGCCCTAGGAGCTCGTAGATGCCGTGTCAGTACAAGGCGTTGCATGGATCTCCTTGCGGACTAAGCTTGCGAATGTCTCTTCATTTTCCTCCTCTTCCTTCCCCTCCCTCCCTCTTTCCTCGAGACTCCCGCACAGCATTGGCACTTCCTGCTCTTCCCAAGACTTGCTTTCGGTCAAAGCGCCATCGATCGCCACAAGGAATAAAATAGACGGCATCATCTCAATTCACCCAACAAACTGTCTCATTGATGCCTGTGACGGCTCTGCTTACCTTCAGCTTGGCCGAGAGTCCTATTCCAGCGGAGACGAGGAAGGCCAGAAAAAAAATGACCGCGTTCAGTCGAAGCCGACCGTGCTGGGGATACTCCCACAGAAGTGAGTCTGTTAAAGCCTTCATGGTCACGACTTCTGACACCTGTGCGGCCGGTGCCCACGTGAGGAACATGGACATATCGAGCCAGGAGGTAGAGAGGGCAAAGGTTCGTCAGGAGAGAACGCACAAGCTCATGATAAGGCCTTCCTTGCGGCATCAGGTGCGGGCATGGGGTGTAATATAATCTTTTTATCCTTTGGTTATCAGATATAATTCACACATGCCACTGCAGTGGGTACCAGGTGCGTGCTGGTGTAAGCAGGCTGGCATTGTGTCCACGTGGAGACACTTGCTGAAAGCCGCACGGTTGGCCTGCACCGAGACAACACCATTCTCACGTATCTAGGAATTTGAGTTCTACAGACGTGTCTTTCAACAATACTTTCTTTCCTTCGATGCGGACAACCACGCCTTCCTATGGACTGCGAATGAGGGAAGAGTGTTTACAGAACAATACCTGGAGACCACGTTACCCCATCCCAGGAATAAGACGAAATTGACACGGAGGAAGGGCCCAACGCCCGTCGTTCCCACAACCATGAGCGTGGCCCGTCTATGCATGAGGCGGTAGGCCGCAGGCGGTGTCACTGCATCGGTACACGAAGGTCATTACTGCCTCCCTCCCCGGGATCTACCCCATCACCACGTCCAATCCCGCCAACGACAACTTCAACCGGCCCATGCGAAGCCGACGCATTCGAGCTGACCTTGTAACCCGCTGGGAAATTGAAGTGGACGCAAGCCATCGACGTTGACGCGGTCACAAGGGGGAGGGAAGGGGCTTTGATAATCTGGCAAACGTTCAAGGCGATCTAAGCGCGTCAATGCAAGGTCTGCATTGATGGGGATGTCAGTTTTGGGAATGTTGACTGTGTGAAGAGGCTTGCACTTAGTATAGAAAAGAATACAGGCGAACTACCTTCAT